TGGTATACCTAGTGGAGTGACCGTAATAGCGTGACGCTGGCAGCGGGCACCGGGGCCAGAGCATTACCAAAGATCAAGGCATCCATCTGGGGTGATAGAAAATACCATGGTGCCTGTTCAAAGAAACAGCCCAGGGAACAGAGCCCACACCCTGAAAGAGTATGGACTGGGCTGGAGAGATGGCTCAGAGGTTAAGAGCACTGACTACTCTTCCAGAGGTCCTGAGTTCAATTCCCAGCAACCACATGGTGGCTCACTACCACCTAATGAGATCTGGTGTCCTCTTCTGGTGTGCAGGCAAACATGCAGATAGAATATTGTATATTAAATAAATAAATAAATAAATAATCTTAAAGGAAAAAAAAAACTATCTACTGCTTCCTTTGCCGAGCAGCGGTGGTGGTGGTGCGCGCCTTTAATCCCAGCACTCCAGGAGGTCAAGGCCAGCCTAGGCTACAGAGTGAGTTCCAGGAAAGGCGCCAAAGCCGCTAAGCCATGCGGATAGAAGGGGAGCAGCTGAGGTTCCAGGAATGGGGTAGCAGAAGCCAAGATGACATGGCCCCACAGCATGCTGAAGCAGTCCAAAAACAGATGCTGACTCAGTCAGGCTGAGCTGAGGTATCAGCCCACACCTCAGTGGGGACCGCTTGTCCTGGATTACTCACAGCCCAGCCTCCCTAAAAATACCTTCGAGGGGTGGTCACTGCCTGCAGAAAAGCTCAAATGAGGCAGATTCAGAAGAGCTGGATCCCAGTCTCTCACTCCGGTCCCTAAGTCAAACTTCCACCATCTCTTCTAGAAAGGCACCTGTCTAAACACCTATAGAGAAGTGTAACATGAGCAGTGCCATCAGTGAAAGCAGTGTAGTCAGACATGGGCAAAACACGCAGCCCGGGGCCACATCCGAGGGCCTGGGGACTGGCACTCTATTGAGTTTCTGACCTGTACTCTGCAGAGACATCAAGGTGTGTGAAAAGGAGAGTAACCATAGCAAGAGCTAGCACAAGGAAGACCACCTGAGATGGTGTGACCAGGAGCAGATCCATAGGCTGTTTCTATTGGTCAAGGTCAAGAGCAAAAAAAAAAAAAATCAAAGGGAGAGAACCGTACCTAGTAATAAATGTATATTGCACAGATGTGGGCTGGTGGGGCCTTGTTGGTTTTGTTTCTGCCTCCCTTCCAGTGTTATTTCTTGCTATCATCTGGACTTATTGTTTAGGAGAAAATAAGAGTCCGGAAGAGTTTAGGAGAAAAAAGTCAGGAAAACTTTCTCATCCACTACGTAGAGTGGCTTCATGCTTTTGAGGGTTAGGAGATCAAGCTCAGGACCTTACAAAGTAGACAAGAACTCTCGCGTGGAGTAACAGCTCCCAGTGCATCTTAATTTTTTTCCCTTAGTTTTGTTTTTTTGAGACAGGATCTCACTGCGTATCCCTGGCTGACCTGGAACTCACTATGTAGATCATACGGGCCTGGAGCTCACAGATCCACCACCCTCTGCTTCCCAAGTGCCAAGTCAAAAGGTGTGTACCACCACACCCAGCTTAATTTAATCATATGAATGTTTTTGCCTGCATGTATGTATGTGTACCACATGCGTGCCTGGTGCGTGCAGAAACCAGCAGATCTCCCAGTACTGGGGTGCGAGGAGTCAAACCCCAGTTCATCTGCAAGCCATGTCTCCAGCCCCATCACCGCCACCGCCATCAATGGGGAAATTTTAAAATGACCGAACAATGATTTGCTTTGTCTGCCCAGAAAAGTTGAAATTTCTCATTTTTCTTCATCTATAAAACAAATCTCAACGTGTCACAGCGCGGGGTGTCAGTACATTCTGTAATCCTAGTGTTTGGAAGGCAGAGGCAGGAAGATCACCAGCCTGGACTACAGTGAGTTCAAATCCAGCCTAAACTACATAGAAAGACCCTTTAAATAACTAAAATGTAAAATACAATTCATGGGGCCGCAATCACTATTTTTGCCTTCTACAACCAAAATAATTTAGTCTGAGATAAAATATTTGTACTCTGGATAGCCACAGCCTTGAGACAAGGGAAGTCCGATAGCAAAAGGCCTCTTATCCTTCCAATGAGTGGTCTTTTCTTCTGAAGGAGAGACCAGGTCTATAGTGCAGGGCTGTGAGGTACCAACTCTCCCTGGGTTAAGTAGCTGTGAGTCCCAATGTTCCTTCCCAGCTGTCTCCATACAGTCCCTGCCCAATTTGACGGTATGAAGCTGCACTATGGCTCCGTGTCTTAGTTCTCCAAGAAGCCAGCAGCAGAGACTGGGCAGTGATGCTCTAGTCCCCAGCTCTGCCACTAACGACGACGTGGTCGGCATACATTATTAGCTCTGCCTCATTTCTCTCTGCTACATGTGAAGACAATGCATGTGCAAGCTCCAGGGTTATACCACCACCACCCCAAAACATAAATTTGAAAACAGGTAATTAGACTGTTGGCCTCTAGAGGCTCTGAGGTTCCTTGTAAACTGCCATTTATCTCAACCCCTTTGTCTTTTTCCAAATTCCTTTCGCCAGAACATAGGATATCACCCTGCCTTGCTTCTAGCCCCTGCTGCACCCGGCTTATTTGAGACTCCCAAAGGAGACCCAGTTTATTCATGCGGACTTCAAAGACAAAAAGGAAGTTAGAGAGAAAAAACTTGCAATTCTTTAGTGGAAAAACATTAGGGACTGGAATAATATAATTATGATATAATTTCAACAAAGTGACCACAACATGAAATTTTTTAGAAGTCCATCCAATGCTCTTCTAACGTTCTAAGACAGTATTTTGCTAAATTGCCCAAGCTGGCCTCATACTCCATCTGGCACATGTAGCTGGACTTTTTTAAAAAACAAATACACAGTCTGGTGTGGTGGCCCACACCTTTAATCCCAGTACTAGAAGCCGAGGCAGGTGATTCTCTCAGAGTGAGGCCAACCTAGTCTATCTACATTAAGCCAGAGAGACTGTCTTAAGACAGATACACACAATTCTTTAACCATAACAATCCATCCTATGCCCGAGATGTACATTTTGAATACTGCACGAAGAGACCCTTCTTCCGTGGGGAGTTTCCTCAGAGAGTTGGCTACTCCCACACCGCTAACCGCTCCTCCCATTCCAGCTGTCTAGGGCGACCCTTAAAACCCATCCTGGCGCAGGCCTTTAATCCCAGCACTCGAGAGGCAGAGCCAGGCGGATCTCTTGAGTTGAGGATGCCAGCCTGGGCTACAGGGAGTTCCAGAAAAGGAGCAAAGCTACACAGAGAAACCCTGTCTCGAAAAACCAAAAAATAAAAAAATAAAAATAAAAACCCATCCTTAATGTCAACTGCGAATGCAGTTTAATAGTAAGTAACACCGAATAAGGATGGTTTCGCCATTTCAATGTGTCAGTTTTCGGCCTCTGGGTGATTGAATTATTTAGGTGATGACCAAGGTCATTGTTTCTAAATGTTCCAGTCGTCTACAAGTTTAAAGTCTCTTCCCCGCTAAGGGGGCTGGACTTCAAGGTAACATGCTACCCCCAACTTCACTCCAGGCATGGCTCTGGGAATACAGCTACCGAATTAGAAAAGGGCCCCTCCATAGCCGAACACTGGGAAGAAAGAGACAGGGTGGCTGAGGTAATTCCAAAAAGCTGATAAGGCGTCCTGAGAGGGCTGGCATCCTGGTTTTGCCTAGCATTCCTAGACGCACTCGTGAAGCATGTATTTTTAAACTTAACATGTTACACGGCAAAGCGCAAATAACCTAAGTTCAGAGACCTAAACAGCATTGCAGAGTGCTAGCTAGCCACGGAAGCTAAAGATGAAGTGGATTTAATCAATAACTGGAGTTCTACAGCACACAACGCTCTGTCTGGGCTGCTGGCCTAAAGTACTCCAGACCTGGAGGGAAAATACGAAAAAAATCAAAATGGAGGAGGGGCCAAGGAGAAATAGGCTGGAAGCAAAAAAAAAAAAAAACCTCGTGGCGCGTGGCGGGCGTCCCATGGCGCCACCCAGCCTTCCTGCTCCGCGCTCCCCAACCTCGGGACTCCCGATCCCGCCTCACCAGCCGCCGGGCGCCCCCGGCGGAGCCCGAGCACCCACTGAACTTGGAGGCTGTTAAACGGCAGGCGAACAAGCAGCCACATCTTAAAAGGCAGCGTGGGGGGGTCAAGAAAGAACCATCTGGGAGGGCTCCACCCTTCCCCACCTGCAGAAAAGATCCGAGGTGAAGCCAAGACGCCTGTCACCGCCTCGCTGGGGGTGAAAAAAAAAAAAAAAAAACCCACAAAGAGGCTCCTCGCAAAATCAAGACCCTTCCCTGGGATCCAAGGAGAACGCGACCCGGACGCCGAAGAGCAGGGAACCAGTACAACTTTCTCACTGAGACTCATCCCGTTTTCTCTTCCAACCGTAAAAGACAGCAACCCCGGCTGTCATCCTAGCCGCGACTGCGCCCACCGGGCTTGGCTCTCTCCAGGAAAGCCCTGAAACCCCCAGGTGGGCTCCAGGATGCCGGCGCGCCGCCTCGCGCATCCTCGCCACCCTCCGCCAACCCATGGGCTCGGGCGGGCCGGCCAGGGTCAGGCCGGGGCCGAGGAGCACCCAGGGGCTCGTGGGGGGAGCCCCGAAAGCCCCGTCCCCAGACCCGACTTGCAAAACAATAAGCATCCGCTTCCCGCCCCTCCCCCACAGGACCCTGACCACGAGTCGTCCCCCCCCCCCCCCCGCCGCCGCCGGGAACCGGCGAGGGAGCGCACCATCCCTGCGGAGAGGGGTGGGGGACGCCCCACACCGGGGACCCTCTAGTCGTCCCAGGACCCTCGCCGGTCCCCAACGCCTCGCCCCGAGCCTGCGCGGGGCTGGCGGCGCCTGCCTGAGCGCGGCGGCCCGGAGCGAGGACCGCGCGGGCCACGCGGTGGCAGGCTGCAACTGCCACGGCCCGCGGGGCGCCGGCCACATGTGCCGCCCGCCGGGCGAGTAGGGCGCGCGGAGCCCCTTACCTTGCCGCTGGCCGTCCCCCCGCTGACGCCGATCAGGAAGGGCTCGCCGCCGTTGGGCTGCTGGTGGTTCTGCAGGGTCTGCTCGCTGTCCCCGGCCATGACTCGCGCCGCCCCTCCTCTCGCAGCCTGTGCGAAGCGACGCACGCTCACCGCCGCCGCTGGTCGCCGCCGAGGTCGAGGCTGGGGCCGGCCTTGGCTGGAGCCCGGGATGGGGTGGAGGTTGGAGGGCTTGGGGGAGGCCGAGATGGCTTCCCCGGAGGTGCCGAGAGCTCTGCTGAGTCCGTGGCGGCCCGTGGGGTTTACATCCCTGGCAGAGGTCAGGCGTGGTGAAGCTGCTCCAATCCGGGCCGGCTGCGCGCTGCTATTCGCCAGGAGTCTGGACCCAGCCTCCGCCCCGCCCGGGCCCCGCCACCGCCCGAGGTCTCTGGGAAAGGTGTGAGCGCCACTCCCCTCCCCACCCTCCCGATTAACCCTTTCCTGGATGGAGCCGGGGGAGAGGAAACAGGCCAGGTCAGCGTTTTCATGTGCCGGCTCTGCCCCCTATTTCAAAAGAGATCACAAGCGAGAGGAGGCTGCTGAGCAGATCCGAGCATGGAGGAAATGCTTCAGGTTTGAGACGCAAGACTGGAGAAGGCTAGGAAGATAGTGATGGAGCACAGTTAATGCCTGGACCCTTTATCCACGCTAAAACTTGTGTTTTCGGAGACTCTCTTCCCACCCCCTGTATGCCAAAGTAGTGTTGTCAACCGCTTGATTTTAGAGATTTCCTGTCTTGGAAACCCCCAAGTGCCATTTTCTTTAGCAGACCTGTCCTCGTGTGACTCACTAAAAGAGGGTAACTGGAGGACGGTTGCCCCTCCCTGGAAATCAGTGCCCTTCCACACCACAGCATCTTGGATCCCCATCACTGACATCCCTGTGAAGCTAGGGTTAATGAAATACAGCAGTGCCATTTCGATTCATTGATGACTTTTAACTGACCTCGTTTATCAGAGGCAGGCCATTTGTCACTTGGATAGGAAGACAGTACCAAATGGAGACTAAGGAGGAGTCTTCACCTCCAGAGCCAGACTTCTTCATGCACCGTCAAGGTCCATGAGCAAGTGCGCCATGCCTCAGGGCTCCCATCTATAAAATGGGAATAATAATGGTGCTCACACGCTAGGATTTTTGTTGGGCATAAATGAATTGTCATAGGTAAAGTTTTTAGAGCAATACCTGAATACCACTGTTGAGCCTGTATTGGGGCTTTAAAAGACCCCTAAAGGACTGAACCAGAAAGGGCAGTTTTGCTAGACACATCTGAAAGAATCTCTGTTTTTCTGAGCTCTGAACCTTATCAGTGAACTGATGGGGCCCTAAAAGGGGGCTTAAGAGGCAGGAGACATGACTCCGCAGTTAAGAGCAGTGGTTGATCATCCAGAGGTACCCGGGTACAATTCCCACCTCTCATATGGCAGTTCGTAACTATCTGTAAATCCTGATTCAGAGGATCTGATGCCCACTTCTGTCCCCTGTCTGCACCAGGCACACATGGTGCCCAGACTATACATGCAGGCAAAACACCTATATACATAAAAAAAAACAACCTTTTAAGTTTTAAAAAAAATAAAAATTTAAAAGAGCCTAAGTCTGTCCCATCCTCTTGTAAATATTAGTTTTGAAAACATCGTTAAAGGGTATATCAAGCACAATGGGTCAGATGTGGTGGCCCACACCTTTGTTCATGTTGATTTCAAAAATAAAAAGGAAGGAAGGAACTTCCAATTCTTTCTTTTTTTTTCCCCCCGAGACAGGGTTTCTCTGTGTAGTTCTGGCTGTCCTGGAACTAGCTGTGTAGATTAGGCTGGCTTCAAACTCAGACATCCTCCTGCCTCTGTCTCCCGAGTGCTGGGATTAAGGTCATGCCACCATCACTGGGCTAGAAACTTCCAGTTCTTCAGTGGAAAAACACTAAGGATTTAGCAGGGTGGTGGTGGCACACACCTTTAATCCCGGCACTCAGGAGACAGAGCCAAGAGGATCTCTGTGAGTTTGAGGCCAGCCTGGTCTACAGAGCGAGATCCAGGACAGGCACCAAAACTACACAGAGGAACCCTGTCTCGGAAAAAAAAAAAAAAACACACACACACACAAAAAAACAGCATTTTGTTCTTTTGAGATAGGATCTTTTGTTTGTTCTGGTTTTTTTGTTTTGTTTTGTTTTGTTTTTTGAGAAAGGGTTTTTTTGTGTAGCCCTAGCCATCCTATAGCCCACTTTGTAGACCAGGCTGGCCTCTGCCTCCTGAGTGCTGGCATTAAAGGCATGCACCACCACCTCCCAGCTTGAGAATAGAATTTTTTTAAATGTTTATTTATAGTTTATGTATTAGTGCTCTGCTTGCCAGCAGAGGGCATCAGATCTCACTACAGATGCTTGTGAGCCACCATGTGGTTGTTGGGAATTGAACTCAGGACCTCTGGAAGAGCAGTCAGTGCTCTTAACCACTGAGCCATCTCTCCTACCCCTTTCCTGGGACTCACTTGGTAGCCCAGGCTGGCCTCGAACTCACAGAGATCCACCTGGCTCTGCCTCCCGAGTGCTGGAATTAAAGGCGTGCGCCACCACCGCCCGGCTAGAATAGACTCTTATGTAACCCAGGCTGACTCTGTCTTCCCTACCTAGCTGAAGATGACCTTCTTGATCCTCCAGTCCCCAGCTTCCACATGGTGGGATTATGGGCATATACCACCATGCCCAGCTTAAAAATGTCCTTTTCTGCTGTGAACAAATGAGGATAAGGTAAAAAGGTACCAACAAATACCCATTTTTTATATTGAATGGAAACATCCCTGTGATTATAATTGAGAGAGAGAAAGGAGAAGGTGGGGAGAAAGAGAGAGCTGTCCTGGAACTTGCCCTGTAGACCAGGCTGACCTTGAACTCATAGAGATCTGCCTGTCTCTGCTTCCCAAGTGCTAAGATTGGAGGAGTGGGCCAACACACTCTGCTAATTTTATATTTTAATTTTTTTCCTGTTAAGTTTTCGATGTAGTTTGTCCCCACAAAAATTTCAAACTGATATTCGATTCCCTATGTAACAGTATAAGAAGTTCCTGGGACTTTTTAAGAGGGATAGATACAGGTCACAGGAGCTCCATCCTCACAATGAGGTGAATGTTCTCTTGAGGTCATTATCAGTAGTGCGGTCCTTGGCTCTCTATCCCTTCCTGTCTCACAAGTTTCTCCTCTGCAGCATCTGCAAACCACACCCCACACCCTGACCGTGCTTTGTCATCTTCCATATTGTGATGAAGTGTAAAAGCAGTCCCTCACCAGAAGCCTGGAGGCGCTGGGGCTGTGCTTGGAGGCTTTCCTATTTTCCAAAGCCTCCTTTAGAATCACACAGTAACTGTCCACAGCTAGTCCCGATGTGCCTGTCACCCAGCTGAGCTTACCTGGCAGCCGAGTTAACCCAATACATCTCCCTGTTCCTTGCTCAACACTAATTTAATGATGGTGTTTGACCTCTGTACGGAGGTTAATATCCACAAAAAAAAATGCTCTGGAAATGTTGAAAGTTGTCTATATAAAGATAAGGCCTGGTTAGCAGAGGAGGCCAGCTGTACACACCCCACTCCGTTTTCACTTTCCCTTCCCGTCCTTAGGGCCGGGTTGCCTACGGCAGAAGAAGCTGCCCTCTGTTTAAAGCATTTCGAGCACTCTCAGGACGGTGACCTCGACAAGGACTTAAGTGTTTTGCTCTCTACAGAGCAAAGCAAGCTGCTTCTGCTGTGTCGTCCTCTCCTGAGAGCCGGTCATAAACCCCACAGCCAGGGATGCTCACTCACATCGCATCCGAGTCCGCTCTGCAATTACACTGCAGATCCAAGTGATGTGACTTCCATCTGATCCTCTGTCCCTCTTACTGAGGAAAAAATATATATATACATGTGTATATAGTACATATGTGTGCATGTGTTTATTAAGAGTTCCAACAGACTCAAGAAAACGTGTTTCCTTGTTATCTATGATCATTCTTTCTTCTTTATACAGATTCAGCCTGCTCAAGTCCTGGCCCGGTGAAGGGTTGGGAATGAAGTCAGCATGAGTATGCAGCTTCTGCTGTAGCCAAAGAGCAAGGAGACTCTGCCGTGGACAGTCCTTTGTCTGCCTGCCCCCCACCCCCTCCCGGAGCACCAGCACCCCCTCCCCTTCTGAAGAGCCAACTGAATCTTTCTCCCTGCAGGTGCTTCGGGAACAATGACCAATCCTCCATTTGCCTCTTCATCCCCCACCAGACGAACAGATGCTACCACATTTCAGCACCATCCTGGGCATTGCTTTCCCGTCCTCTCTGTTGCTCTTCTAACTTCTGTCCACCTTTCCTCGGTCAGCGGTTGCTTTGGCAAGCCGTACGTAACTGTTCTGAAAAGATGACCTTCTGATAGGAAGGCTATGTCAACCTCCACCCCATGACCTTCATCATTCACGCCGCTGATGCTATCGGGCATAAAAGCACAGTGCCTGGGCGGGGAGGGGGGGAGAAGGGGGGAAGAGAGAGAGAGAGAGAGAGAGAGAGAGAGAGAGAGAGAGAGAGAGAGAGAGAGAGAACAGTGCAGTGTCAGACCCGCAGTAGCAGCAGCTGTAGCTGTAGCCTTCTCCTGACAGCTCGGCTGGAGATGCTAATGCTTGGGCTCCGCCCCAGAAGTTGTGAATCAGGATTCGGTGGGTGGGCCCCGTGCAGTCTCTCACAGGCTCCCCAGAGGATTCCTTTGCCCACTGAACTTAGCGAACCACCTGACCCAGCTTGAGGATGAAGAAGGGCTAGCTCGAAAACGGAAGTTTGTGTCCTGGCTTTGTTTCTTTGAGACAGGGTCTCACCTACCCCAGGCAGGCCTGACTCACAAACTTGAATCACAGAGCACCCACCACTCACGTAGTGCTGGGGACCAAACCCAGGGCTTTGCTCATGCTAGGCACACAGCACTCTGTACCAGGCTTTTTCTTTTGGGGCCACCAACCAGCTCCCAAATCATGACACAAAGAGACTTATTAGCTTTGAATGCTCGGCCCAGCTTAGGAACGTTTCTGGCTAGCTCTTAACTCAACCTGTTTATCTACCTTTTGCCTCAGGACTTGTTACCTTCCTTCCATATCTTGCTTTCACTGATTCTTTATTTCCGGCTGCCTGGTGTCTGCCTGGCTTCTTGCCCCAGGCATGTCCCTCGTTCTCACCTCCTCTCATTCTTCCTTTTCCGGCCTAGATCTCTCCTATTTATTCTCTCTGCCTAGCTATTGGACATTCAGCTTTTTGTTAGACCAAGCAGGTGCCTTAGGCAGGCCAGGTGAAACAAGTGCAACACATCTTTACATAATCAAACACACATCCCTACATCGTTAAACAAATGCAG